TTGTAATTGTAATATTATTGTAATTGTAATATTTTCATGAAAAACTCACCACTCTTATGTCAATACGGTCGCAATGATGCTTTTTGGTACCGTAATGGAATTGCATGAATATTCACGTGGTGGTTATGTAATACAGCGAATCGATAATAACAAAATCTGTGTAGACAAATTTACATAATCGACGTCATCGATTATTTCAACTAATCGGTGCAGCCCTACTTGTGATGTCCATGGCCTACCCCAGTTACCACTACTTTACATGTGTGTCAAGGACAGAAAGGCAGATGTGGCAGTGGAAGGTGTCAAAGCAGTTTGGAGAGAAAAACAAAGTAAAGAACAAAAAAGAAAACGATTAATCAATTATTAAATTAGTCATCGATTATTTTAATAATCGATTAGTTGTCGATTAATCGTTGCAGCCCTAAACAAAACATAAAGATCTTTGATGATTTGCCTTCTGTGTGAGTGGTTGTAAAAGGTTTTCYCTGAATGTTTTCTCTTGTATTGTGATCGTTTTTTTCACTGAACAGTCTCACACCCACACTTTTCCTTTCATATCTTGTGCCCTCAGGTCTTTGTGTCTTTTTATACAAACCGGTCCAAAGTGAAAGGTACTATTCAGGGCAATACAGTTCTTGTTCTGGGGAAATCCAAACTTTCTGACTTCTTCGTAATTCTTCTTCTTTCGCTTCTGAGGTCGTCACAGTGTCATCCTCTTCCATCTTCCTCTGTCCTCTGCATCCTCWGCCCTCACTCCAACTACATATATATTTTTCTGTCTTTTTCCTGGCTGCAGCATCTCTAACATCAGTCATTCAACCTGTGCTGTATCTCTTATGATCTCATTAGGAATGAAATAGATATATAATGAGMTCTTCACTATGTTTTGTTGCATTCAAAACAGAGAGAACCTGAAAGGTTCAGGTTTTTTTCAATATTATGGTCAGAAATCTTTAAATAGCAACAAAAGTGTTTTTTATTTGAGGAACAATAACTGTTATCAGCATGTGTTTAGGGTTTTCAGTTTGATTAGTAGTTATTATCTTGTAAGGACAGAACACTGAAGGAGAACTTTAGGAAGAAATCTAATTTCTTTCTCATTTGGGAATGAATCACCTGTTGGTAAATGTTTTAACAGATAAATCTTTTATCTAAACTATCTATGATGGTGGCTGTGGTGGAGTGGTTAGGGGACTTGTCCTGTGACTGGAAGGTTGCTGGTTCAAACCCCGTTCCAGCCATCTCAGTTGTTTTGTCCTTGGGCAAGACACTTCACCCGCCTTGCCTACTGATGGTGGTGCCGGTGCATGGCAGCCCCGCCCCTGTCAGTGTGCCCCAGGGCAGCTGTGGATTTACCATCATCACTGTATAAGTTCAGTCCATTTACTATTTTTACCATACGATGATGCTAACTGTTCRTATTTTTATTGTGAATGTTTTGTAACCAGTCTTGGTCAAGATTCCCTTGCAAAAGAGATTCTTAATCTCAATTTCCTGGTGAAATAAAGGTTTAATAAAATAAAAAAGAAATTTCAGACATCAAGTTGTTTCTTTTCATAGGTTTTGTTTCAGTTATCAAACATGAGAAGCCATTTGTTATATTTCCAATGTCACTCGTGTGTCCAAAAATAAATTGTGACTGATTTAATTTTCAACATAAATGTCAACGACACATTTTCTGAAAGTTAAATCCAGAAAATGTTGCTCCAAATGTCTGTGTTTTTACAAGACAAGTTCACAACTTTAAAAAGCTGCAGCCAAAACTTCAAATTTCCATTTGAGTTTTATTAGAACTGTTGTTTTTCTCCCCCAGGGCAGAATGATTAAACAGCACGAATTCATTGACGTATAAACAGGGAGTAGGTTTGCAGTTTGAACTTATAGTCGATTTTCCTCTGTGTGAAAACTGCCTCAAGCATGGCAGTTTCACTATATTCATTTTTATCTCTGCAATTGTAAACATAATTTCTGTCATGCTAAAAGCATTTTGAAACTACTGACCAAACAACTTCAGGTGAAATATAAATGCTGACAAAATCTAAACAAAGATGTTCTTTAAAGTTTTATTATTTGCGACTTTTCCCCTGTTTTTGTGAAACAGTGATCAACAGTTTTTGTTCACTGTTGGAGAAGCAGTTTTGGGAGTTCAGATACTGTAGTATTGTGTTTACTTGCCAATTGAACAAAATTGACACATAACTTCATAAAAATCACAYGTTTAGATCTCCCACCTATATTTATTTATTCGCACAAAGTTAACATGCAGCACTGTTCTTTTAATGAGAACAAAATGTTTCCTTATCACTGACATTATGAAGGACATTATATTTGTATATGTAGTGGGACAAGTAAACATAGCACAAAAACTCATTTGTGTTCGATTGAACTTCTTTGTTACCTCCGCCAAGGGCGAGGTAATGGTTTTGGTCGCATATGTCTGTCTGTCTGTCTGTCTGTCTGTCGTTCTGTCTGTGGACAACATTACTCAAACGGATTGTCATGACATTTTTACCACATGTGGGTACTGGCTCAAGTAACACACCTTTATATTTTGGTGATGTTCTGGATCACGATGCGGATACAGAATTTTTTTTTCTTTTAACATTCTGAGATCGGCAAAGCTGTGATGCTTTCACGGGGCGTGGGTTTCAAAGTGTCCAGCTGGTGGCACTGTAACTCTATTACAGTATGGGGGGGGGAATTGGTCTTGGCGGAGGTTTGCACCCTCCGAGTGCTTCTAGTTTAATAATGCTTCRCCTCCTATAAAGTCGGAGAGTCTATTTCTTCTGAAATGGTGACACATTTGTTAGAAAAAAAGTGTTTGTAAGTTTAGCAGCAAAGTTAAATGTGTGTTATGAGCACATAAAAAAACATTGCCCATGCCTAAAAGTCTAGTTTGCTGTTGACTCTTATTTTGAAATTCTACTATCCCTAGCTGCCTAGTAGTTAGCGCCTGTGAGAGCTAACTCCAAAAGCTTCACAGGGCCTGGACTCTCTCAAAGATGACACTTGCCTCTGCAGAGCAGGGTTTGTCAGAGTCTACAGAACTTGGGAGTGGAAAAGATCAAATAGCCAATGAAATGACCTCAACCCCATGGAACACGGTTAGTTTGGATGCACTGTTTATTTCAGAGCGACCAACACAACCACACTAGCTGACTCACGCTGACTGAAGAATGGGATGCAGTTCCACAGCAGCAGTGACCAAGCTGGTGAGCAGGGGGGAGGAGCCAAGCTGTTGTGGTTGTGTAAGGTTCTTCCACATGCTGCCAAGGCTGCTTTTTAAAAAATAAATCAATTGTTAAAGTGTAAGTCTTGTTTTTCAGACTTCAATCATCCAATACAATAAACAACAACAAACAAACAGTAGCAGAATTAACTGGCCCGTTTTTAATAGGGGCAACACACAACTCTGCACCTGCATGTGCATTGTCCTTATAAAAATGTCACAGAGGCACCAG